CACCCCAGGTAGGCCAAAGAACAGTGCAGCCTGCATAAGGAGCAGCTCTCCAGTGCAGAAAGAGATCTAAATGGGAACTGATTTTTGCTGGCCCCTTGGAGAGGTCCCTTAAGACAGGTTTCACTGTGTACTGGGAGGGCTACAGGGTGTGAGGGCACAACTACTCAGTCAAGGGGATTGGGAATTACAGCAACTGCCTAGATGCGCTTCCTGGCTTCCACCCTGCCTGAGATTTCCAATCTTCTTGTATGTCAAAACCCAGTCCAACTATTTTGACCTTGTGAAGGTCGACACAATGTGGCAGGGTTGGAAACTGAAAATCTGCTATTTGTCAACAGTATAGTCCAGGCCGATGCAATCTGAGCTTTTTCCACTCTCTCTTGCCAATAATTGACAGCACAGACTTTCCATCCTTCCCCAGGAGTGAGAGGTGCTGTGGGCTCCTTGTTCAGAGACCCTCTGCTGAGATGGTAACCTGCAGATTACTCCCTTTTGCAGAATGGTTTCTGTGAAGTGAGACTGCTGCTGGGTAGGAGACCAAGCAATGAGGTTGGGTTCAGCAAACCTATTTCGATTAGGACTCTAGGTTAGGACCTAAACCAAGAAGTCTTTAACATTATCCTTAATACTGGAATTTACTTAAAATATCAGGTGAACCTGGGAAACCATTTCAGTACCATGTGCTTTGCATTGTTCCCTGGAGACACAAACCCATGCTTTTAATCGGTATTTACATGGGAGCACACCTGTTCAGACCTGCCAAAAATATCTTGTATTTTTATTTGTGGGGCACAAAAGTTATGTATGACTCATTGTCCTTCAGAAGACATCCTTACAGATATGATTCCACTAATGTAGGGGAAACTGTTACAGGAGCAGATCACTTACCAGATCTCATAAGAGAAGACAATTTCCAGGATAAATACTGAAGTTTTTCAACAAGAAGACTGTATTATCCCATTTTTTATTTGCCATATTCATTTCTGGATTATTTTAGTTTGCCTCTACTAGATCCTCTGTAACAGGTGGCAATTTATTTGCCATGTGGATTGTTGTCCTTGAAGAGTGGTCTAATGATCAGAGTAGAGAACTGGGTGTTAGGACTCATCAGTTTTAGTTGCAGCTTATGCACTGACTCACATAACTTTTCTATGCCTTTGTGTATCCCCTCTGTAAAATGGGGATAATACTTTCACCCCATCATTTTTGTGAGGTTTAGTTAGTATGTGTGTGTGTGTGTGTGTGTGTGTATATATATATATATATCTTCAGATGAAAGAGGGAGGAAGTGAGGCTGCAAGATGGAAACTATCCAGTTAGATTAACTTCTTTGACTCAGATTTAAAAGCTGTGCAGCTGGTACAAATTTTTAGTTGCAGGCTATACAGTAAATCTCAGCCCTGTTATCTGTAGGATCTTTTGCACTGATGGGTGAAAGTCAGGAAAGTTTGGTTCATAGTTTTGTAATGACTACTTTGGGGAAGGCCATCGTCATTATTAGCTGCCCTTGGCTTCAACTGGGGCTTCAGGTCCAATAGTAATAATTAAGAATAAAAAATGATAGAACTGATGACATCTATGGTGTCCAAAGCTGTTAATTATACAACTGATTAAAGAGCAATTAAGGCCTCATAGAAAACGTTTAGAAAGCACCTTGCCTGCAGGCAGTATTGCCTATATTTTAGCATACAGGCCCCGTATTGAAAATAAAAATATATATATTCTGTATTGCATCTTTCATACCACTGTCTCCCCAAAGCCTTGACAGTGTTAAATAATGCAGTCACAGAATTAAATGTTAGCAAAGGGAGAGGAAAAATTAAGAGGCTGAAAGGTGTTGTTCCAGGTGGCGGAAGTTGAGAGAAAGCTCTTGCACTAACAGTGGTGAGCCTGTATGGAGGGACAGAGAGTAGGCAAGTGTAGGATGAGCTCTGGAGACTGGATTTATTCTATTTATTTATGGAAAAGTTGCAAGGTCCATCGTCTTTGCCCCTATGCCTGCCACCTATTTCCCAGTGGAAGTCACAACCTTTGTTTGTGACATTATTCATCATAAACGGCCTACAATGTGTAGTTTGGATCCTGATTTCAAAATGCTTGATGCTCCAATCCAGAGTTTTGGTTTGGCTGATTATAGACTGTAGCTGAGGAGGACAATGGGACAAGCCCCCTACTCATACTTAAAGTGCTATGACAGCGTCCATGTCTATGGAGAAGACACACAGGCTCTTTTGGCTAGGTCCACAATAGTTCTTAGGTACCTAACTGCGTCTTTAAGTGCCTAAGTCCAATATTTAGGCAACACTGATGTTCTCAAAACCACTGCTCAGCTTCTGCCTAATCCCAGAGGAGACTAAGTGTCCACCAGTCAGCGTCCCTAAAGTCGCCTAAGCACAGAAGCCGCCCACAGCTGGAAAGCTGCTCAGGGCCCACACTGAAGCCGAAGCCCTGGCAGTCCCAAAACAGGATTCTCAAGTCGGCGTTCCCCCACCTATCTTGCCTGTGGGGTCGGCATTTTCAGCGCATGCCTACAGGTTCGGGCCCTACACAAATGATGGCCAGGGTGAGCCGATTGGGTGTTTTCAAGCTCAGGTGTGTGTGTGTCCTAGTCCCTGGCCCAGCTTAGAACACTCTCCTGGGCTGAAGGAGACCCAGGTTCATGTCTCTGCCCCGAGGATGGCTTAATTATTTATACTAACAGGAGTGTTTGAGACCCATCCCAGAAAAACCCATAATCCAGTGGTCAGGACACTTACGTGGGACATGAGAGGCCCAGATTCAGGTGAGTGCTCTAATGGGGTGAATTTTTCTGTGAGACGGGGCTGCTGACCTGGCTTTGGCACCTAACTCCAGGAGAGGGTTCGTGGCTGAGAATCCCAACCAGAGATAGGTGCCTCCCTCTAGCCCAGTGGTTCCCAAACTTGTTCCGCCGCTTGTTTACGGAAAGCCCCTGGTGGGCCAGGCCGGTTTGTTTACCTGCCGTGTCTGCAGGTTCGGCCGATCGCGGCTCCCAGTGGCCACGGTTCGCTGCTCCAGGCCAATGGGAGCTGCTGGAAGCGGCAGCCAGTACGTCCCTCGGCCCGCGCCACTTCCAGCAGCTCCCATTGGCCTGGAGCAGCGAACCGCGGCCACTGGGAAGCCGCGATCGGCCGAACCTGCGGACACGGCAGGTAAACAAACCGGCCCGGCCTGCCAGGGGCTTTCCCTAAACAAGCAGCAGAACAAGTTTGGGAACCACTGCTCTAGCCCATCAGTCAGATGTTCAGATCCATGGAAGTTAGGAGTCTAAGAATCTTTATGAATCTGGGGCTTTTCCTCTGAATTTCTTTTGGCTGGCTTAGACAGCTCCCCGGACAGGATGCTGGCTTCTGTGAATCCCGTTTTTAGACGCCTACGTCTCCCCATGCCTAACTCAGGGCTGAGATTCCACTAGGTAGCAGGATGCCTAGGGGTTAGGTGTTGCAACACTCAGTATTGCAATGTCTAAGTAGAATGGTGGATTTAGCCCTTAGTTTTTAAGGGCTCGTCAGGAAGTGGGGCACACGCAGACATGGTAACCCTGGATGGAATTAAGTTTGTCTGATGTGGAAAGAAAAATGGTTGAATCATCTCTAAACGAATTGTTTTTCAGGAAGTACTGGCGATTCCCTAACTGATGACACAGGACGGTTTGAGCAAATCACTTGGGGTGGCAGCCAGAAGAGACTGAGGCATTGCAATGCTGAGCGGCACAGCGCCTTGCTTTTAGGCACCTAGAAAATCACAAGAACACACTGTGATCCACAAAGCCAAGTTAGGCACGTAGGCTCCCATATAATGAATGGGGAGAGACAGGCACTTTTGACTGCGATCCACAAAACCCAGAATGCTAGACAAGGAGCCGCCTATGCTGGCCAATGGGAGGTGCTGGTGAGAGGAGTGTGGGCTGAGCCCTGCCTCTCTCTTGAAGATAGGTGCCTATCTCTGCTTGGCATTTCATGAACAGGAACCAACTGCCTGGAGTCAGGTGGCTTAGGCACCCAAGATGTTTTTTGCAGGAATTAGGTAGACGTCTGCCTCGCTCCACACAAAATAGTGGAGGAGGAGAAGGCTGCTGGGTGCCCACCTTATCGCTTTTAGCCCAGTGGTTAGGGCACTCACCTGGCATGTGGGTAACCAGAGTTCAATTCCCTCCTCTCTGCCACAGGGGGGAAGAAAAGGATTTGAACAGGGATCTCCCACTGCTCTAACCACTGAGCTTTGGGATATTCTGATGGTGAGGGGTTCCCTCAGTCTCTTCTGTTGAAGCTGATCCACCATGGACAAATAATGAGAGTGACTGGAGCAGGGGAGCTGGATCCAGGTTCTTCCACCTCCCAGGTAGATGTCCTAAGCACTGGGCTACAGAGTAAGTCTCTCTTTCTTACCTAATGACTATTTAGGTATTATCAACATTAGAACAGTCATTGGGGAAGTGGAGGAGGGTGAGAGAAAGAGACAGAATCTGTAGTCCACTGGTTAGGGAAACCCCCCCCCCCCAGACACATGTGGGAGATGCTGGGTCTAGTCCCCCTGCTCTGATTTAGGTGCTTAAATCTGGGATTTAGGCACCTAAGTACCTTTGTGGATCTGAGGCTTAATTGCTCTGTGCCTTAGTTTCTTCCCGTCTATAACATGGGGGATAACAACTGCTTCTCAGAATAACTGGCTTGCAGGGATGACTTAATTAATGATTATGAAATACAAGCTCTAGAAATACAAGTACTGTTGTTATTACTATTTTATTTCATAGGGTACCACTAACTTGAGCAATATTCACAAGTCTGTTTCGAAGAGCTGGGATAGTTTTTTGAAGCCAAAGGAAGCAATCAGACCCGTCTATGGTGTTTTCAGGTTGTTGTCTGTAGATGCCAAGGGCCTTGTCATTTCACACTGTTTAAAATTTAAGCAGTGTCACTGGTAGTTGGCGCTGGACCAGTTCTCAGTCTGGTAAAGGTCAGCAGATGAAATGCTGCACAGAGCACTTACCTCATGGCTATGCAAACAGCAGCTCCTGGCTGGAAAGCTGATACTGTTTGAATCTTCTTGCAAGACAAGTGAAATATGATTAGAAGCACAGGTGCAATTTTACCTTGCATTTAGCTTCACAAAGTGTACAGCAGGGCATGGTGTGTGTCTAGAGCTATGCGGGCTTCTTCTGCAATGAGGATCTGCTTCGCTGAACACTTTCTGGTGTTAACCCTTTGGCTGCTGCCTTCACAAGGTGGGTGTGTTTGCAGTAACTTTACATAGAATCTCAATTGAAATTAATACAATGTTGTCAGCTGGTACCAAACTAAGCTTAAATTAGAGAGCAAAGGGGCTAATAAGCCAGGACAGTTATTAGCTATGCCAATCCTCTCCACTTGGGATCTTTTAGCCTAGGGGAACATATTTTTTGTTAATGAAGGTTCAATGTAAAATAATTGGTATAAGGGCCTTTTCCAGTTAAAAAGAAACCAAAATTAACTCACTGCACTTGAAACCATTTCCTTTATTTTTATAGCACATAGTACACGCTTAACATGCTGTGCAAGAAATCAGCAAAAATCATTTTGAATAAATATTTACACTCTTAGTATACACATATATACAGAGAAAGAGAGAGAGAGTATATTCACACCTATATAATACATATAAACTCTGGGTTACTTTACAGCAGTAAAAAAATCTTACAAAAGTTATAAAACAGTTCGGTGCCAGGAATGTTGGATTTATGTGCAATTACAAGCATTGGCCAAAAATATACTGTAACAAAACTATAGCCACGTCAGCTGTCAGTATTATCACTATACTGCACATCATGGCCACTCAGAACCTCATGCAGCAACAAGACTAAGAACATAAGAATGGCCATATTGGGTCAGACCAATGGTCCGTCTAGCCCAGTATCCTGACTTCTGACTGTGGGGTGCCAGATACTTCAGAGGGAGTGAACAGAAGAGGGCAATTACCGAGTTGTCCAGTCCCAACTTCTGGCAGTCAGCGGCTTAGGGACACCCAGAGCTCAGGATTGTTTCCCTGACCATCTTGGCTGAAGAGCCATTGATGGACCTATTTTCCATGACTTTATCTAATTCTTTTTTGAACCCAGTTATATTTTGGCCTTCACAACATCCCCAGCCAATAGGGTGACCAGATGTCCCGATTTTATAGGGACAATCTCGATTTTGGGGGCTTTTTCTTATATAGGCACCTATTACCCCCCCCACCCCTTGTCCTGATTTTTTACACTTGGTATCTGGTCACCCTACCTGCCAATGAGTTGCACAGGTTGACTGTGTTGTATGAAGTACTTCCTTATGTTTGTTTTAAACCTGCTGCCTATTAATTTCATTGGGTGACCCCTGGTTCTCATGTTATGTGAAGAGGTAAATAACATTTCCTTATTCGCTTTCTCCACACCATTCATGATTTTATAGACCTCTATCATATCCCCATTTGTCATGTCTTTTCTAAGATGTACATTCCCAGTCTTTTTAACTTCTCCTCATATGGAAGCTGTTCCATACTCCTAATCATATTTGCTGCCCGTACTTTTTCCAATTCTAATACATCTTTATTTGAGATGAGGTGACCAGACCTGTATGCAGGATTCAAGGTGTGGGCGTACCATGGATTTATATATTGGCATTATGATATTTTCTGTCTTATTACCTATCCCTTTCCAAACGGTTCCTAACATTGTTAGCTTTTTTGACTGCAGCTGCAGATGTTTTCAGAGAACTACCCACAATGACTCCAACATCTTCTTGAGCTAATTTAGACCCCATCATTTTGTACGTATAGTTGGGATTATGTTTACTTTGCATTTATCAACATTGAATTTCATCTGCCATTTTGTTGCCCAGTCACCCAGTTTAGTGAGATCCTTTTGTGACTCTTTGCTTTGGACTTAACTATCTTGAGTAATTTTGTATCATCTGCAACTTTGCCACCTCAATGTTCACCCTCTTTTCCAGATAATTTATGAACATGTTGAACAGCAGTGGCCCCAGTACAGATCCTTGGGGACTCCGCTATTTACCTCTCTCTATTGTGAAAACTGTTTATTTCTACCCTTTGTTTCCTGTCTTTTAATTAGTTACTGATCCATGAGAGGACCTTCCCTCTTACCCCTTGACTAGAACATAGACTCTTGTTGTCCAAATGCTCAGTACCCCTTCTACATAAGCTAAAAAAGAATCTCTTAACTATAAGTAGTATAGGTTCTATGACACACAGTTGAGCAATTCAGATTCTATCTAATAGAGGGTAGTAGTATAATACACACTAGTCAGTTCATTACAACATATTCAGGCCAGCTCCAAAATTCTGCATAAGCGGTGTGTGTTTTCATTTGCCAGGGAGTTTCCTCCCTAATGTCCAAGACAGTGCTAGGAAAGCCCTTGAGTTAACATGTCAGCACATGCATCACATCCTCAAGGGTATGTGATTTTCAAGACAAGAGGCCTTATTGGGCTTTCTAGCCAGTTAGCACATACACCATGCTGCTTCTACCAGGACATGCATTGCTCCTGGTGAGTGGACTAGCAAAGTGCTCTTCCAGATCACTGGATTCCTGGACATTCTCTGCCAGCAGAAATCTTTTTGCAGAGGATATATCTACCATCAACTTTTCGTCTCCTTGATGTGCTATTAATCTTGGGCTAGGGCAGGACATGGTACTTGGAAAACATAAGTAAACACTTTTTGATAAACCTGCCATTTGTATAATATCGATGACAGGAAATTTTAACATAAGGCCTTAAGTGAGAGAGGAAATGAAATTACTTAGTAATAACGGAAAGGAATACAGGCGAGTCTCATCTTACGCGGGGGTTCCGTTCCACGGTTAGTGCGTAAAGCGAAAACAGCGTATAGTCAAAATTACATTGAGTTGAATGGCGGGCGGAATCGCCCGCACTACAAGTACAGTATTAAAATTGTTATTTTTCTCTTTTTTTTTGTTTTTGCCGACTGCATAAAGCTGAAATCACACATGTTAAATGCGCGTAAGATGCGACAGACCTGTAAATGCTATTATTGAGGTCTTTCACCTTGTCATTGGTAGAGAATGGCACTGTTTCAGTGTATTAAAAAGAAGACGGAGGAAGGCTGTCTTGTGGTTAAGGCACTGGATTGGAACTCAAGAGGTCAAGGTCCCATTCTCAGCTTTGCCACAGACTTCCTATGAGATCTTCTACAAGTCATTTCATCTCTCTGTGCCTCAGTTCCTCCTCTGTAAAACTGGTGTGTGAGGATAAAAATCATTTGTGTATGTGAAATGCTCAGATACCATAATGTTGAGAACCAGAGAAAAATCTATAAATAAAGGGTAGGATTTTACAGGGTTCCATCCTGTCCCTCTGGATTTTACATTATCCAAATCACATTTGGAAAGAGGTCCAGTATTAGTTAAAAAGCTGCATACTAGTATAAAGGGGACCCTAATCCTTTGATCAAAGCTGAAAAAATACTCAACCTATATCTCAGTGGTTGCTCTTACAACCTAGTATTAACTAATGATCAATATCTTAGATTAGGAATGTGTTACAAAGAGCTAACAAGCTTTTGTGTCAAAACCTAGAGGTCCAATAGTCTGAAAATACCCAATTGTTTTAAAAAATATACATATTGTGAAGGATTTTGGATGAAAGCCGTGGAGCCTTAGATCCAAAGGAGTTGCTATTTCACGTAGACATTGGAGCTGCCTACCAATATCCTCTAGATGCTTGACAGTTAGGGCCCAATCCAACTGCCATTTAAGTCAACAGTGATCCTTCCAGAATCTTTAGTGGAAGTGGGATAAATCCTGTCTTAATTCATGGATCAAAAGGAGAACAGACCTTCCTGTGGGAGAATAGGATTCTCCCATATATACTGTAAAATGTGCAGTCGTGTAGGTGCTCTAGTATTTATAAAATGGCTGATTAGGTATTACAGTGTTTCTCTAAGAAGGATTAAGGTGGTTGTTCTGGGAACTAGAAGTGATGAGATTACACAATGGTTAAACATATGTCATAAGATCAAAACCTCTCTGCAGGAGGAATGTATCTTATTCTGTTTTTTTAAAAACAATTTTATTTTTATTAACTGGACTTGATTTTATTCCCTGCCTGCCCATGAAACACATAGGATAAAGTCCTGACTTCACTTAGTCAGTGGGAGTTTTGCCATTGATTCCAATGGGGATAGGACTTCATCCTTAGCAGGAAAATGCAGGATTGTGGGTTTGATTTAAAACAGAAGCTTTGAACACCTCTGAATAAATGTCATATCACCTAATGTTAATTTCTGCACCTTTGTGACCATTTTAGTTAAATAGTGCAACAAAAGATTTGGCAGCAAGACCCTGTCTTTATAAAATAGTACTGATCTGACCTGTGTCTTTCCAATATTTTATTGTTTCTGGTACTAAATTTAAGTCTTTTAGTAAAATTGTAAAACACCATGAAAGAGAGAAGCAGTTGCCAAGCTCCCTGCTGATATTTAATTAGGAAGTCATAGCCAATTTGGGTTTGCAGGTGCAATTATATTGTACTTATTCCTCTTTGATATGGTCTGAAGCCATACTTTGGAGCCTGGGACTAAGATATTTAATCACACGAAGGTCCTCTGCCTTGAGCCATACCATCCATCTTCCAAGCAGATTGTATCGTCACTCCCTGTGGAGCCCCTGGCCCACGATGTAGAGTTCAGGGTGAGAAGCAGACCTGCTGGATCCCTTGAACTCAGAGAAGCATGTGCTGTTCCAGGAATCACCCTCCTTTCTAGGGCTCTCCTCCATGCTGCAGATAGAAAAGAAGATTAAGAAAAGAGGATAATGAATCATGTCCTTTTTTAAAATGCTAAGGAGAGCATGTTAACCCGTTAAAACGAAATGCAGCAAGGCATTCTGCAAAGCCTTCCTCCAATTCAGCTGTTTAGTACAGTACAGGTTTTCTTTCTGGTCCCTGTTTCCTGATGCCAAGTGCATTGTAGTCTCCTCTCCCTGAAACTCTGTTTGGAGCCAAACATTATAATATTTGATCGCCTGAAAGCCACTGTGATGTGTTTGAATGTACAGATGGGCAAATAGATTCACTTACAGTAAGAGAAAGGCCTGAGCTACAAAGCTGGGATCCAGATCCCACAAAAGGGAAGTTTCTATCTATCTTATCCTAGGTACTTATAAGACTCTCTCCCCATTATTGTAGTAACTGCCTCATAATCTTTAATGATGTTTAACCTCTATACAGCTGGAATTACTATCCTGATTTTACACAGGGGGAACTGAGGCACAGGGAGGCTAAGTGACTTGTACAAGGTCACATGGGAGGTCTGTGGTGAAGCAGGGACTTAAACCTAGGACTCCTGTATCCTAAGCTAATGCTCTAACCACTGGATTGTCCTGCCTCTCTGTTGTGGTGGAACTAGTGCTAGAATGGTACTGGATGAATAGATTTAGCCAAGTATATAAATAGAGGATTATGCATGAAGTTCTCATCCAGACTTCCCCAAAATCTGGGAGGATTCATATTCAAGGTTTTGCTTTTGGTCCTGTGTTACTGAATCAGTTCCTCTTCTTTTCTCTGAAGTGAATGAAATCCAAATAGCTTGTATTTTAAGCTTCCTTCCATCTCAGCTGTGGGGGAGGGCTTTAATCTGAGAGCAACAGTACAACTGAAATACTATTTTTTACTATACACACATGCAGACAAATCCTGTTAAGGATTAACAGGATTTGCCTGAGCAAAGTGTCATGCGAGGTATGCCTTGAAAACGTGCCCACCAGCGTTGATTGTTACCCAAAGGCCAGGCTCAGAAAAGAGCAAAGTAGCTCTGTACATCTACCTATCCAAACAGCATCTAGTTGTCGTGGCTAGGATACTGAAACCTAAACCCACGGCTCTTGGAACTTATAAAGTAACAGTAGCTGTGCAGAGCTCTAGCTACAGCTCTAATCGGGGCTAGTGACATGTTTAAGATCTTTTATCTGGATACCCTGCAGAGCTTTAAATGGGAAGTTTATACGCTTGGAGAGAGGACATTCACAGTTTTCTAGCGCAACACTGAGAGTGCAGGAAAACTAGCAGAGTTTCATATTAGACTGACCTACAATTTACAGGGCCCAAAGCTATTGATGCTCAGAATGCAATGGTGTAGAGGTAAAAAAAGAAGTGGGTAAACTAATCTAAGCTAAACTCCACATTCCCCAAATGAAAAGTGGGTAAACTCCATTTATCTGTATTAACCCTCATCTATACTACTGGCAGAATGTGATGAAAGCTACCTCTCCCCTGGTCCTGCAGCTGAACAGGGAAACTGGGCTGCTGAGATGAATTGCTGGGTCACCACAGGATCCCACATGGTTGTTTGTATTTGCTTCTGCCTAGGGCCAAGCCTGGCAGCCTAACTATAGCAGTCTGTTTCCCAGCAAAAGGACAATTACCAGAGTGCGGGGAAATGGAAGGAAAAATCCCCAAAGATGCATAGAGGTCTCAGAAATGGGGTAAATCATTGATTCGCCAACGCTTGTGTGTGGACTACTTCATAAGAGAGAAATCTTGTGGATCCACCTCGCCCTCTCCTCCTAGTTCCCCAACTAATTAGTGATAGCAACCTCTAATAATCTAAAATATCTTTTCCCAACATAGGACATTAAAATCACAATGTTATTATGGGCTCTCCAGGACAAGAGGCATGCTCTTACTGGAAAACTGAGGCTCTCTCCTTTCTGACAGTGTCAAGTTCCCCCATTTCTGTCTCTCTAGGGTCTCAAGATTTCACACGTTAAACCTGTTGCAGGTCCAGCACTTTACTGTCTGTCTGGGCATCAGGACAATGTAATTCTGGGAAGAAAAAAAATACATTGTTCTAGGGCAGGAAAGGAGGAACATTTTTGTGGCATGTTGTTTCACTATAGAAACTGGCAATATGTAGCTGCCTTAAGGCTTTGGAATGTGAGAATATTATATATCCACTGAAATGTCTAATGGTTGAATGATTAACCCTTAGGCCCTTGTAAAACACCTGAGGTTTGATCAGTTTCCTAAATTCAGTGTGGTCAGTTTCTTGTGGTTAATAATGAGCTGGTAGAGGGTGCTGTACTGAAGAAGACAGAGTTTCTACTTGCTGAGAGGCAGGCTGGGTCAGGACGCTTGCTTACAGTGAGCTCCAGGTAGCTCCATTTCCCCCTGGAAAGTAACCCCTGTTCTGGTCTGCACTCCCGATGTGTCCTGCCTCCCTCTGCTGCCACTTCCTGTCCCTTCTCGCCAGCTGGCAGCCATCACAGGAGGTAGCTGTGCACATCAGGAGGCCATCCAGGTGTGGAGAGGAACTGACAGATCCCAGAATAGGTCCATGCAGAGAAGTAGGCTGGCAGCGAGAATGAGTCAGCCTGGTGGGAGAAGGCCACTGCTGGTTCTCATCAGAGAGAGGGTGGCCAGGGGTGTGGAAGGGCCCATGTTAGGCTTGGTGAGGAGAGGAAATGGAAGGTGGAGGGAATGGAAAGGAGAGGGTTAAAAGAGATTTGCCCTCAGCTGGGCCTGCAATCTGAAGTTCACATCTGGATCTGAACTCCCCCAGAATTTGAGGGTGTTGGGATCCAGGGTATGGTGCAGGCAGATGCCTAGTACTGACATTTGAAGGGGAAATATTCTGAATTTTTTCTTCTGTTCAGGGAATGAAATGAGAAGCTGAGGCAGCCTTGTATGGCTAGTGAGCTCTGAGGAGAGTGATGAATCAGCACGTACTGTACTGTTAACGAAAACGTTAGGGCTATGAGTCGGTATCTGTGCCTCAGCATGCCGAGGCTCTGATCAGTGGAACCCGTTATATTTCAGTATCCTAGACCTAGAGCATGAAGTGCTGGTTCTATAGGCAGTGATACTGGGTATTTCAACCGTTTAGGTAATATTCAGTGGGCAGATTCCTAAAACATCTGGCATCTGTCTGTCACCATGCATGCTATTATGGCTCTGATATGTATATTATGACATTCAAAGCAGTGTCTATAAAGCTGGGGCTGGGCAATTTATTTTATTTATTTTAAACCTATAAAAAACATTGCATCTTAAATCAGTCCAAGCTGTAAATAATGGGCCACTCTCACCCTGGTATATATCTGTAGTAACTCAGTGGAATTACTCTGGATATACATCGGTATAAACGGAGAGCTGAATTTAGGTCAATAAATATTTCATTCTCCCAAAATGACTAAAGAAATTGATAGATATCCCAAAGAGTCACAAAATATAAAATATTTCATGAAAAGGATGATTTTTTTATGGTTTAGTGCAGTGTCTTTTTATATTACCATTTGTGTTGCAACAAACTGCAACACATAGATAATATGCATTGCTGAAGCAGAAATTAACTAACAATTTATAACAGGCTGCTTTTAAAATTCATCTATAAAACTGCCAGCACTTTCTTCTCATGAGATTTGACGTAAAACCTTTTTGAAAACATTCATTTTAGCCAACAGACATTCGTATAGACAATGCTGATTTCACACTGCACATAAAAAAAAAGTATCCTTTAGGAGATAAAATTTGCTTAGAAGTCACAGAGTAGAATGTATAATAAAACAGAGTGCAGGATGCAAAACAATTAGCATTTGCGGAAGGTTTTGTCATTGTTTTATTTTGGTAATGATAACCTGGGATATACTGTCATTCACAGTACAGGAGAGAAGTTGGGGGCTATTTAGATTTAGTTGCTGAGCTCATTCCTGTACTGATGACATAGTTGTGTACACACACACATAATGTGGAGCATAATTGCAAATATTTATTCAAGTGAGTAGTCCAACTGACTTCAGCAGGACTGCTTGCATGAGTAAAACACTACTTGCATGAGAGGCTCTTAATTCTTTTGTGTATCTTAAAGCTTAATTAGCTTAAGGTACTAAGATGGGAAAAAATAGAACAACATTTTGCCCTTACGTGCCATTTAATGATTGCAAAATATTTTGCCAAAAATATATCGAGTATCATAGCCCCTCTTGTGATTTCAGATAGAGGTATACTCACTTTGTGGTTGAGTAAATTAAAGAGTAGGGAGGTTAAAGGCCAAATTTTTCAAACGTGGCCACAGATTATGGGTGACTCAATTGTTGCATGCCCATCATGTGACCCTTAGGGCCTGATTTTTTTTCAGAAGAGCTGAGCAATCAGAGTTCCAAGTCCTTGGCAGCCACAGGTGCCTTGTGCCTTTGAAAACCAGGCTCAAATTGTGCACCCATCAACTGAGTCACCCATAATCAGTGACCAGTTTTGACAAATTAGATCTACATAATTAGCTCAAGGCTTCAAGTAAGAATTTTATAAATAGAGCTTTACAATTTAAGAGATCCCCGCCTGCAAATTACCTGTGCTTACTGCTTTGAAATATTTAAACACAGAATTCAACTGGGGAGCTGGCTAGCTCAGGGACTGATAATAGGTTGCCAATTCAAATCCAACGTAAGGCATTAGTAATCTAAAGCTGGTACCATCTGAGGGTTATTTCATATCTTTTGTGAATTGAATCTGGTGATCTGCTGCAGTACACTTCCAAATGGCATTCATTATTACCCTGCTTGCCAGTCTCAGCAGACAGAACAAACAGGCTTGAATGACCTATGCAGAGTGATCTATCTTCTCCACCCTGACAGATGGTCTATTTAGGTCTTGGTTAAAGCAATATTGGTGGGGATGGTGGATGTTTGCACTGCTATTCTGCACATAAATAGGACAGTTTTAACTGTACTAAGCTCTCATCAAAAACTGAAAAAAACAACAAAGCATAAAATACAACCCAAAGCGCTTGACTTAAAGTAGAATGTGTCTCACCTTGCTTGGTTAAGTAGAGGTTCACTGCCAGCTGAGACAGGAGCTGGAAGTCGAAGGTAAACTCCTGGTCTGCGGTCGGAGAAACTTCTCTTTATGAAAGGCTGAGGGTTGGCAGCACTCAGAGCCATCCTCCTCTGCTGATCCCCACACTGCCTGAGCAGCATGCTGTTTTTCTGGGCAAAAGCTGAAACTTCAGGCTGGCCTGCAACCTCTGTAGTGCAGTTGCTAGGTGGTGATGGAGGCTTGGCTTCAAATAAAGAAGGAGTTGCTGGGCAAAATATTGAACGTGCATTACTGACAACCTTTGGTGGAGAAAGCTGTTGCTCATCACCAGAATCCAAACTATTTTGTAGTACTTTGTGTGACCGTGATGGAGACGCTGGTGGAGAAGGGGTGGTGCAGAATGGAGGTGGACTTGCCTCTCTGCGCTGAGCTGGTGGGCTTGACAACTTCCGCTGAACTGGTGGGCTTTGTTTGCGCCCCACTGGAGGGCTAGGCAGTTTTCGTTGGTTTGGTGAAGAAGGCAGCTTCTTTTGCATTGGAGGGCTTGATACTCTGGGGTTAGCTGGGGGACTAGGTTGCCTGCGAGTAGGAGGAAAGTGGTTAAAAGTCTGCAGGATGTGTCTGGGATATGCAGGTGGACTTGAGAGTCGTTTCTCGGTGGGTGGAGAAGAAGGGGGTGTTCTTGTTGGGGAGATTCTTCTGACAAAAGCTGGACTTTTCTCATTTCTCCCGAGTGAATCAGGATAAATTTGCTTTTGGTTTTGCACTGATGCTAAATTTGTGCCAGTTTCTTTACTTTCTGAGCAGTTTCTGTTCTGTTTTGAAACTCCACTGGGATCTTGAAGAGGTATTATTTTATGCGATTGCTTATACAAATCTGCAGCCTCTTTCATTTCATTGTCCCTTTGGGATGCTAATTTACCCTCTTGGCTGTGGATGAACATGTTGGTAGAATTCAGCTCCAATGAATATTTTCTAAATTTGGAGTCCGACCCAGTGTTTCTTAGTACTTTACTGGCAATCATGTTGGGACTGTTGATATTTTTACTTGGTAAAAAGTCAATGGAATGTAGAGAGGCTTTTATCTTTGGAGAAATGTGCATTCTCTTTGTAGCATGAAGCTCTGTTTTGGCAGGCTTTTTGGCAATGTCTGAAGAGTTTCCTTCCATTATTGTACTTTCTTCAGACTCAGATAAGTCAAAAGAACTGTCCATTAGCATTTCAGGAGGTGGTGGTGGCAGGTTCTCCAAGTCTTCATCAGTTTCCTCATTTGTGTCACTTCTGCTTAATTCTGCAACAGGCGGAAAGGCAGTTGGAAAGTTGCAGTGGGATGCATTTGTGTTTGGAAGGTTTATGTCTCCTATTGGTGAAACACGATGCTTGTGAATTAAAGGTGCCAGGGCTCTCTGAAGGGGAATGGTGGGAGGAATCACTGGAACTCCAAACTTTCTAATGCATTTTATTGGTCCTAAAGTTCTTAAATGTATAGGTTTCACAAGGCCTTCGGAAGGACTAAAAGTTTCAATAAGTTTCTTGACAGATTTCCGAGGGGCGCAGACACCGCTATTGAATTTCTCTATCCCAGGTGGCTCATTTTCTTTCCTGTATGATAAATCCTGTGTGGATGCGGTGGCTTTTATAGGCTTCCTTCCCCTTCTCTCATCTGGATGACTGACAGTGTTTTGCTCGGATTTATGTAAAGGGACCTTATCCTGATTAGGCAATATGCTGAAGTTTTTAGAGAGGGATGCCTTCAGTTTGTTGGTAGAAGATCTGGGTGTAACATGTTCAGTGTCCTGCAAGTAAGCTGCTGCTCTTGGCTTCAGGATCTCCTGCTTGCCATCTGTTTCTTTGTTCCCGTTAAGCATATAAAATGTTTCTAATCTTTTGTTGAGATCTTTTTGGGTCCTTTGAAGTTCTAAAAGGGTTGGGTCTTCTGCACGGCTCCTGAGGGATTCCTCTGACCTGGACCTTCTTTGTTTAACTAAGGTTTTCTGGCTACCACTTGCTGTACTGGGTCTTGCTGTTAGGGCTGCTTTTCCACCTTCATCTTCTGTCCACTCCTTTCGTCCGCATTTAGCTGGGACAAACTTGATTTTTTCACTGATCGCATCTTTCATCTTCAGTATCATCTCTTCATTCTCTGGATTTTCTATTCTTTTGATGGATGGCCTCCTTGTTTTATCTGTTACTGCAGGTGAAGACATTGGCCTTCTGGGCAGGGCATTCTTCCCCATTTCTGATAGACTTATATTATCATTGTCATCCTCCTCCAGGGTACTCTCTTCCTCTTCATTTGCAGAAGGAGAATCTATTGATTCGCAGTCTTTGAAATCTTTACCATCCTGGGCGGCATCAGACTGGAGGGAATTAAAAGAGGGACTTTTGATCACGTTTGAACATTGGATCCTGGTGGAAACATTTTCTGGTGTTGCCCCAAGGGAAGAAGTTGTTCCTTTGCTGTGTACAGATGGGTAAAATATATCCTTAAAATGCCTTTCAAGTGCACAGTCATGGGATCTAGTTGTAACAGACAATGTGCCATTACACAGATGTTCTCCTGGTATTCTGTTGTGTTTCTGAGATGGATGATCATGTGCACAAGAATCGCAGCTTGTTTGCCTTCCAAGTTTATCTAGGGAATTGAACTCTTTGATAGATTCATTGTCTGCACCAATACCACTGTCTTCTGAATACAGAGCCCTATCATCAGCCTGGGCCTGAGAGGAGACCACTGCAGAGGCTTCGAGCAATTTTATTGCCCTTAGCAGGCGTTCATCAAAGCCTTGTTTTGCTTTAAGTTTTTCTTCCAAGTTGCTGGCTGCAGACTGTAAGTAGCTCCATGTCTCCTGCAGGGCACTGGAGGTCAGGGAAGCCACTGTTCCGTTTAGCAGCTGCATTTTGTTGACTGTATACTGCAATAACTGCTGCAACAGATCTGGCTGCTCTTTTGGATCCCCTTTTCCAGCTGGCCAAGCCAGATTTCCTCCCACCTCTTTGAGGAGCTCTTCCCCATCATTGGCAATTTCTTCCAAGAGCTGGTTGATTTCATCAAAGCGGAACACTAGAAAGCTCACCATCTGCTGTAAAAGCAGCTGAGTTTGTGTAGCCTGATGGGCCATACATAGGATAGCTTCGTATTTGGAGAGGTTGGGATTTAGGTAGGCATAAGCATTTTGATGAGCCTTAACAAGCTGATCTGGGAAATCCACCTTTTTCTCAGTCTTGCATATAGGTGGAGTGGATTTTTCTTTGGGTTTGCAAAGACGACCTTGTTTTGCTGGTTTATGGCTCTTTTGCTTCTTCCCTTTCTTTGGGGTTTGCTTTGTATTGCTTTCATTCTTGTTGTCCCAAGTGAAAGTTGTTGCCTCTGATTCGCAGGAGCTTTGCTTTTTGATCTGTATGTCTTCTGCTAGATGTTTTTGAGACTCAATCAGTTCAGACATGGCTATTTCAGCCTCTGTGGCTGTCCTCTCAATTTTCTTCTCTTCCTCATGAATCTCGGAAAGAGAGAGATCCTCAGATGACAAATGGAAGTTAACATTTTTGATCAGCTCTGATGTTTTCTCCTCCCTTTCCAGCTGGTGATCTTTCCCCAGAGACCCTCTCTGACAGAACTTGTCAATATCATAACAAGAGGAGCCTTTGACCAGCAATGGAATTGAAAATGCTTCGTCTCCAGGATCGACAGGCAGGATACCTTTGGGTTTATTCAAAGGATTAGTTCCAGTTTTTGCAACATGGTTAGCAATCTCACTGTGGGAAGGTGTACAGCCCATCCTGTCTCTCTGCCTGGCTTTATTTTCTGTTAAAAATATCCAGATGATCAGGGAAAGAATAGAAGACAATAAAACTTACTGTTTCATCCTGTATTGGAACATTTCATTTTTCTCCCAAGGTTTCATCAAGAATTCTCCTAGTTTTGTAGATAGCCTTGTTAATTACAATTAACTTTTCCTACTTCCCAGGATCCTGTCTTAAAAGAGCTACACATTGTCACGTTGTATTTTGTTTCCTTTAAGGAGTTCATCTACTGGAAACAAATCATGTGAAAGCTGTGTTGGGTTAGAGCTAGTGGATTAAGAGGACTCATGTACTTGTTTCTGTCTTGACAGATGTCATGTATAAATAAGATCTTAAGCTCATTAGCTTAATCCGGCATCAGCACACATGCTGCGTTTGTAACGGAAAACTTTTTAAAAATACTGTATTGGGAGGCAAATTTGTATTGATGTACTGCAATAGATAGCTTCTTTCCCTCCACTCTTTCTCCCCTCCCAAATGTCCCCCCCCCAAAAAAAACCCTCTACAAATGGAACTTTGAAATCCAAAGGAAGAGATTGTTTCAGGCAATTTCTAGAAGAAACACATTTTAACAGGGGGGGAAATGCCAATGCACAGCCCTTTGCGAGGAGGAAGGGTGACTTTGACAGAATACAGAAGAGCTAGGAGGCACAAGACATAGAATCAAAGAGGTTACAGTTGAGATGCCTATTAGGTCATCTCATCCAGAAATTTTCAATATGCTTCCACCTGCAAGTCCCAAACCATTCACTATTTCCTACTGTGACCTCCAAAACAAACAATTTTTTTCTCGAATGAACTTTCCAGGAATCCTTTTTTGCTACTTCAACTAGTCCCTCAACCTAAAATACTTCACAATAATCAAATATTTTAATTAATTTGGCAGATATGGCCAAAGATAGCATTGACATTAAGTGCATATACAAAGGAGAATTTAAAATTAAAAATATATATTTAGAAGTATAATTTGTGTTCTTACTGAAGTGTACATGCCACAATGCTCAATATTCACAATGACCCCACAAGATAGCAGCATTGCAAACTTCAAGCTTTCAAAAATTATGAGTCAGGCCCAAACAATTAGGAGGTTGGCTTAAAAATTATGAGATCTTGAAAAATTAAGAAATTTGGGGATCTTTTAATTTATCTTCCAGTGTCTGAGCCTTTAGGGATCAATTTTTTCTTTGCAATCATGATGGCTAGAAACTTATTATTATTATTTTTTTTGGTAAGTGAAGCCTGAGATTCTCATAGTCACATTACTCCAAGAGCCAAGGCTTTAAGGAAAATAAACAAACAAGCAAAACCAAATTTCAATATTGGGCTAGAAACACGAGGCCCAATTCTGCATCCCAGCTGAGAACTATTGATCAGACCATCTCCCAGGCCCCAATACAGGACTGTTCCCTTTTCATTTGTTGATACAATTACAAATAAAATAAAATAAAAAAAACTCCTCAAACTAACAACCAACCACCGCCGCCGCCCCTAGACAAACACCAACAATCCATTTCTTAAAGAGAAATCAAAAAAAGAAAGAAGGAATTAAAACTCTGCAATAAAACAGCAGATAGTTTAATTTTAAAAAAATGACTTCTCAAGGGTGCTCTGTAAAAGATAATGTAGAAAGAAAATTCTCCCCAAGCAAAATCTCTCCTTATGTTATTAAGACTAAGGCTAAATGGATTAAGATGATTTTTTTGTTGTTGTTTTACCTTCCAAACACAGGTTTCCTAGAGAAGGCAGCCATCTCCCAGTGTAATAAGGAATGGAAAAGGTGCTTGCCACCCACTCTAATTACTGTGTAGCATTAGGCTGCTTTATGCTGACAGAGCCAATCATCTCCCGCTAGCAGAGTGATCGCTAACAGTTTGGATGCAGATATCTAATCTATCTGATTTCTAATAAAACTCTTCAAGTGCCGGGTGCTAGGGTGACCAGACAGCAAATGTGAAAAATCGGGACAGGGGGTGTGGGGTAATAGGAGCCTATATAAGAAAAAGACCCCCAAATCGGGACTGTCCCTGTAAAATCGGGACATCTGGTCACCCTACCGGGTGCATATAATGCACTCATACTTTAATGAATGAGTTTTATAGGATTCACTACTGTTAGGGACAAATGCTTTCAACGTTCACATCCTTATGGACAGAGAAGACTTTAAAGAGTTTGAGCTGTGTAAACAAGCTATGTTGCAAAAGTCTAAGCTGACCCTTGAAGGACATAGGAGAAGGGTTCAGGGAGTTCAGAAAAATGGGGGCATGACCTATACTAAGGTTTCACTTCAACTTAGGGGTTATGTAAGAAAATGGAGAACTGGTTGGGGGTTACCATGGTTGATGAGGCCTAGGAATTAATGGGTTTAGAACAATTTTATAAACTGCCACCCTGACCTAAAATCAGGGTTAGCAGAAAAAGATCCTAGGGATTTAATGATAATGGGGTAATTGGCAGACTGATATGTACATAGTCAGCTAGGGTTTGATAGAAAACTAAATAGGGATGAAATGGAATCGGAGGACAGGGAGAAACCCATGACTGGAGGGAGGGAAAACACCTCCAAGAAGCTCGGGGCGTGGGGGAAGCGGTGTTCCGTATGTGACCGGTGGGGTTACTTTGCCCGGGATTGCCCTGTCCAGGCCTTGAGGCTCAGTGCAGTGTTGGAAAGGCCAGTTTCCCCCGACCTCAAAGAGTTACCTGTGTGATTAAATCTCCGGAGGGAGGGAGCCACCCAGCCAGAGCAACCATGGCATATAATGTTCCTGCTGACACATTCACATCTCAAACCACTGTCCGTATGCCAGGCTGCACCCTCCTGGGTACAGATCCCTCAGATGGCCAGTGGGAGTGGAAGATGGTGGTCAGTGAGGAAATGTTTATTGGATGGAGGGATACTGGCACTGCTAAGACTATGGTTAAGCCCCATGTCGAAATACCCATCAAATGCTCTGTATGTGAAACCTGGGTTATAATTCCTTGTGTAAAAACCTTCACTTTACCTACAGCAGCACTTTCTATACGGACCCAGGAAGGGTCGGAGGTGCTGGCTGTACGTATATTGTCAGATATTCCATATCTTTTGCTATTATGGCTTTAAAAGCAGAATGGGTGAATCAATCCCCCTCAGCTCCAGATCGGCAAGCGACTGTGTCAGCCAAAATGCAGATGGGGTAGCTGACAGGGAGGAGGGGGTAGAAGGCTGGGGTGGATCCCCCTGCCAGTATCCAAAAGGAATCAAGTTACCTTCCCAGAGTATGCAGACAAATACATGAGGAGAGAATAGATGAGACTGCCTCCTTCTCCAGGGAAGTGCCAAGAGCTACTGACCTAAAGAGAAATTCTCTTGAATCCTGAAGCACAGTCCAGGGATGTAAGTTCTCTGCCTACCCTTCCCAGAGAACCAAAGGCAGTACAGAGCATGGCAAGGACAATGTCTCCAGCCAAAAGTAGGGACACTGAGGCAGCTGCGGTGCACTGCCAAATCTATGACACCCACCCCATGGTGGGAAATGCCCTAGTAAAGGGTTCAACTGCTGCTTGGGAGATGACTAAGGTAACTACAGCCAGGAAAGAGTGGGGACTTCTTCCCACCCCACAGTCTCTGACTGCCTGATAGTCTGAGAAAATGTAAAAAACCATAAGCCGGGTCAAGCCACACACCTTAACTCAGTGTGTGTGGAGCAAAAGGCCACCACAGTGGGGTGATCAGTACTCTTCTTCCCCCAGAGAAGCTGGGGTTAGGCCACCCTCTATCCACTCTCTGCCCTCCAGGCAGCTTTGAAAAACCCTGGTCAGGGTGGAGAGAGAAGCAGGTTTCCACCCAAGAGAGGTGACTGCTGAGGAGCTGGGAGCCAAGGGTGGGTGCCCTTGCTGGACCACAGAGGGGGAATACAGGTGCCATTGCCCTGAACTATGACCACAACATCTATATTTAGGTGCCTAACTATTTCAGTTATAAAATCTGCTTGTAACCTTTCTTTTGAGAAGCAGTAATAGCGCCATTGTTTGCAGCAGGCATTTGATATTTGGCAAGGAGAAAGCCCTGGGGCCAGAAAAGAACCTTTTCTTAATCTGGTGAAATTCCATTCAGGCTTGGCCAAGATATAAACTTTTAAAAATTACTATTTCCCTTCTGTTGCTTACTTTCCTCATGATAATTTTAGCAGCATGCCAAAAAAATAATAGCTGAACGTGGACATGCTAATCTGGGCTCACGGTGTTACCGTGACCACCATCACAGCAGCACACACTTCTTGGTAAGGTAACACCTATGAGCCGACAGCTTCTCCAGTAGTGGGGCAGTAAGAATTCAGCCAGGCTACCCCTCAATAAGCTCTCTCCAAACCCATCACATGGTTGCAGTTACCCATCCTCCACTGGAGGGGCACCACATGGAGAAGGAACTCTAGACACCTACCAGGGAGGGAAGAAAGAGAGTGAACTGACCAGGCTGCCCCGATGCCCTTCCAGATCCAGCACATATCCCAGTACAGGGAATGGGATGCTGGGAGCCAACTGTCTTTGGCCTTCTGCCAGCTAATGCTGCAGTGCTAAAGATTCAGTTTACACTTTGCTGATGGTGCACAATTTGGAGAATGGTGTGACAGTTGCACATAACAGAATTTGTTTTAAGAGTGTAGTGAGCGAGAGGGGGAGTGGACAGAAATGAGAATAGAGATGTTGGCAGAAGAGAGATTATGTAACACCTTGAAGATGAAGACAAGAAGCTTAAATGTGATTTTACTTTGAAATGTGTCTATGTAAAACAACTCTTTACTCAACAGAGCAGCTTACTCATAGCTGCTGACTTTGGTGACAACGTGTTTTCTCTGGTTTTTATTTCTACAAGTCCTGTAGAGCCAACACAGCTCTGGGAGATGGAAATAGATTCTATTCTTTCTCGTGCATCATCAACAGCATTGTTTATTAAGTTCCAATCCATTCCATCTGTACAAATCCAGTTAAAGCAATAGGATAGCAGAGGTACCATTGAGGGCATTATATGAAGAAAATGGAGTTGCACAGGTTTAACTGAAGACAGCTTGTATGTATAGAATCTTTACTACTGGTGATGGTGCATGACAAAGAAATAATTCATCTTGACTCTCAGATCCCAGGGTAAATTTTCCAGGCTGGCAGCCTGACTTTTAAGCTGAGGAAATTTGATCAGGTGCCATTGAGAGACAATAAAAAAGCACCAAATAATGGTATTTTAACAGATCTGCTTTTCAGAGTAGAACCCAACTTTAAAAAGTTAAGAGAAGGGCATGAGAAAACTTTTAAGAAATCTTTATCTATCTCATCCATAATGTTTTATGACCTTTTTAGGGAATTAATTGCAAAGGAAAGACAGTGGTATATACTTGAGCTTATAGCTTACTGGTTTGCTTGTAGAAACTTAAAGGCTACATCAAATACATCTTTATTAAAAACATAGATTAACAAAATTAGTAAGCACACTCCAAATGTATTTGGTAAATCTACAGAACTGTTGCTTCTTTCCCTTTTGCTCCTCAACTTTTGTAGCAACACAAATGTGGGGCCTGCTCATAGGAGGTATTGAGCAACCATCTATCCTATCGTAGCCAAGTGGAATTGCAGGACGATAACCCCCACTCAGAATCAGGCTTTGCACTTTGCTACCTAGGAGGTAGAATTGCAAACTAGGGCAGTTAGACAGCTGCAGTACAGCAAAGGTATCACATTCTGTGGAAGATGAGTTAAACATCAAAACTGAAAATAATTTACATGAATCTTTATTACCTTTGGATTGTTCATTCTGTTTTCTTTCTCAAAGCTTCTGGTTGCTAAGCCACCTCTGTGTATTTAAAACCTCCTGTCTGTCATAGCTAATCTACGCTTTCTGCCTGTTCCAATAGTTAAAACAGTAAATGGTAATGATGGCAGAAATGGAAGTTTTAGGTTTATGTATTAATTGCATGGAACTGCAAGAAGAGATTAGCTTTACAGATAGACTTCCACGTTCTTTCATGCAAATTAAAAAAAAATAAAAGGGCAGATCCCTATCACCTTTGGCTGTGATTGCATCAGCTCTCACAAACCTACGCGGGTTTGGGAATCAGAATGTAAGGTGGAAGATTTTGAAGGAAAACCCAGGTTTTGTAGGAAGAGATACTGGTGATTCAATGGGTAGCATTCTTCTAAGTACTAAACCAGTACTAGCATGAAGTTAGGGAACACTGTTGTGGTGAATATGGTGTAAAAATAAGGTCCTGACTTCATGTCGTTGTGAAAGATTCCAGAGGTCTGTTTAGCCTTATGTCTTCACCAAATTCCAGTATGAACAATTACCTATTGCTTCCCTAAGTTCCCCTGAAGTTTCAAATAAGTTTAATGTTATTCTTCACTTCCTATCCTAAACTTCTATGGAGAGTGGATGTGCTTGGTTAAAGTTACCACATTTTACCCCAGATAAAGGTATGTTTCTGTAATTAAGTTTTTCTTTCACATAGATACTAGCATTCATGGGAGCAAAGAGTTTGGGGTAGAAATACCCAGATTCTACACTGGGAGAAGTAAAGTAATATTTTAATTAACAAAATGCATGTGGTAAACAGAATCTCTCCTTTATATTCCCAGCCTCTTCCTTCTCCTCTCTGATGATCAATTATTCCGCAATCCATTGTTTACAACATCACAATTCACCAAGTGGCAAGCAATTATGATGCTCCAAGCATCAGTCCATAACATCACTAAATGAGCCAGGCAGGAGGAGGCGAGATTGAGAGGGCTTTTATTTGACTACACATCCTGATGATAAGTAGTGACTGGAAAAGATATTCTGAAAAGGTACATAATTTAAAAAATATTATTTAGCTTTATTTATAATCTTGCCTCCTCCTGCCTGGCTCATGTAGTGATGCTATGGCCTGATGCTAGGAGCATCATAATTGCTTACCACTTGGTGAATTGTGATGTTGTAAATAATATATATATAGTGCTGGCCCAAATTAAGCATGGATTCTGTAAGGACTTGATTCCCATTGATTTGAATGGTGCAGGATCAAGAGCTAAGAAAGTAGGTTTCCTGTTGCATATGTAATTTAGAGATGACCCGGGATTTAGACTGAGTAGGTTTACAGTGCTGGGTAAGCACTCTTTTTCTCCTACTTTCTCTCTTCCAGTTGGTGTAGTGATTGGCAAATGATGTGGAGTCAGGATTCCTACCTTCTACTCTCATCTCTGCCACTAATTCCTGAGCAATCTTGGGCAAATCACTTTACTTCCCTGTGCTTCATCTTACCCATTTAAAAATGGTTATAATAATGTTTATGTACCTCAAAAGGATGTTGAGGCTTAATTCATTTATGTTTGTAAAGTGCTTGGTTTTAAAGTATGATCTAAGTGCATTCTCTCCTCTCCCTTCCCTTCTCCCGTCTCTTTACTTTCTACTTGCCCCTATTATCCATCCGTGCATGTCTTTTTCTGACTCTTAATATTTCTTTAGGTCTTTAAATATAGAACATTGGTATCAGTTCCCGACTTGTCCACAGCTCCAAGCTGTCTAATTTGTAGTTATTTGGTGGCTTGTAATTTTCCATTGGCTTTACTTCTCAGCTCCAGATCACTGCCATATACAGTAAGCTCCTCTGTGCCAAAGTACTGGGTGAACCCAGGCAGGTGCAGTTGATTAAACTGACTGAAATGTCCTCTAAGCAATTTTGGATGATTTCCAACCAATCCGTGTGTAGTGTAAACAAGAGACATAATCTGTCTGCATATGGAACGGGCCAACAACATTCTAGTGCGGGCTCACGCAAACAAAGTAGATGAAACAGTATCTCATGTCATATACAGGAGAGCATATTTACAGATGTGACTTCCAATCACACAGTGATATGAAGAGTTGCCTGTAAATATCTTTCCTTTTAAAAAATATACATATATTTTGGGTATATTTTGCAAATGTTAAGACTGTTGAAAGATACAGGCTGAAGACAATGTATACAGCATGTCCTCATGCCATGTATTCTAGGTTAGTGGACATCAGTTCGTTAGCAACACTAGTCTTTTAACAGCTGCAGATTAAAAAGGATACTAGCAGTGCAGAAATTTTGTAACATGAACAAATGTACATTATAGGTTAATTCAAGATATCAGCAAACTAATTTAACTTATGACCTCTTGTAAACCAGGCTTGAATTTAGGACTGCAGAGGAAGAAAGCAACTCCATTTACCTGCTCTAACATAAAGTATGATGCTTTTTTCACTTAGTAATAAATCAAAGACTCAATTTTAATGTAGATTATGCATAACAAGAAAATCAACTGTGTTTTGTAACTTTTCCCCCCTCTAGCTATATCTCTAGTCTATAATTATATGAATCATCATGGCTCACAGGGACATGTTGACAAAGGAGCTGTAGCAATTTTTGTAACACTAACAGTGTTGCCTGTTGATATAAAAGGGAGTCAGGTTTAAAGAACAATTTTGGCGTTGTTACTGCAAAAAGCAAGATTTAGTCCATAATAAAGAACATAAGCAGTTTGTGGTGCCAAACAATATCCCCCTGAGCCCCCAAATTTAATACTGTACATTTATACTGACTTCTACCCATGTATGTCAAGGCACTTTTACAAATATTAAGAGTCATGCACTTGGAAGGAAAGAAGGGTGAGATGAGAGGTATTATACCTTTCTTTAGAGATGGGGAAACAGACACAAAAAGTTGTTTCTTGACCATGATAACAGACTTCCTATGTATGTCACAATCAAAAATTGTAGCCCATTTCCTGGGTCTAGTGCTGTGATGTAAGTCATCCCTCTTTGCATCAATACAACCACACTGGTTTTGGCCTTAGGACATAACAATCTTCCTGCTGATGTTTGACTTCTTAGGGCCAGGTTTTCAAAAGAGCTCAGCATAATGGGAGATGCTGGGTATTTCAAAAAAAATCTAATCTCAGTTGTGTGTGCTCAGCACTTGAAAAACTAACCCTTAGTATGTTTTGCTATCAAGGAAACATCCAAGTAAGTCTTTGTCAGAGGTGAAAGTAAGCCAGTACGCTGTACGGGGGCGGCTCGGCTTCCCCAGGCGGCAATTTAAAGGGCCTGGGACTCCCAGCAGCAGCTGGAGCCCTAGGCCCTTTAAATTGCTGCCAGAGCTCCGCTGCTGGAGCCCTAGGGTAGCGGCAGCAGGGCTCTGGCGACAATTTAAAGGGCTGGGGCTCCTGCTGCCTCTACTGCTCTGGGTCCTTTAAATAGCTGTCAGAGCCCCGCCGTCGCTACCCCAGGGCTCCAGGGGCTATTTAAAGGGTTGGGACGGTAGAAGCAGGGGAGTCCTGGATCCTTTAAATACGCCCTAGAGCCCTGGAGTAGTGGCGGGGCTCCGGGGGCTATTTAAAGGGCCGGAGCTCCCGCTGCCTCTACTGCCCTGGGCCCTTTAAATAGCCCCCGGAGCCCTGCTGTCGGAGCCCGGGGGTAGCAGCGGCAGCTGGGGGCTCCGGCAGCGGTTTAAAGGGCCCGGGGCGGTAGCAGCGGCTGAGCCCTGGGCCCTTTAAATTGCTGTTGGAGCCCCCAGCTGCCGCTGCTACCCCAGCGGGGGAGGGCACTTACCAGTATAGGGCAGGCCGGGACTGGCTCTGATCCCCCATCCCTGCCCCTTCTGGGGGCCAGAGCTGGCCCCAACCCAGCCTCGTACTGGTAAGTCCCTATTTCTACTTTCACCTCTGGTCTTTGAGTATTGGACCATAGGTGGCAATATACACCTCTTCCTTTTTTAATATCTTTCCTTTCATACAGTGCCACCAACCTTGTCTGAGTTAGACTCTTGCTTCCTCCCCAAATATGAAAAGATCATAAGCCATGCGTGACTTTGGTTTAACAGTGTTTATATTAGAAAGACAGTGCTTTCTAAAATGGGAGCTCTCATAGTACAAGGCTGCATCTTATCTGCGTTTCTTAGCTATGTGAATCACCAGGCTCGTCATACCCACAAAATACAAATCTTTGAAGTGCCACACTGCACGAGCAGCTCTAGCATGTTTACCATTTTCTTCTAGCCTCTGGCAGCTGTGGATAAAATCCCATGTGGGCAGATGATTTTAAAATCAGCCTGGGATTAAAAAGCTTGCCTAATGCACAGCATCTGGTTCAGGCTTCATAAACGTGTCCTGTAGTTACTTGGTCTTAACACCAACTTTGTGTGTGCGTGAAAGCAGGGTCTTGTTGTGTATAGTTTCCATGACTTCTTGTCATTCAGCAAGGAGGAGGAAGGCGGCAATTGGAAAACACATGCATGTGATGGGCATTTTGAAAACTAGCGCAAGTGCTGGGACTTCCCTCTGTGTGTGCACTGTACTATGGCAATGCCCCAGCAGGCTATAGACAGCACAAATCCTTAACGCTAGAGTTCAGTAACGCCAGCTGCCGCTCCTGCCTCCGTCGTACCCCACTATCACTTCCTGCAAGCCTCATCCTCTGCAGAGGCGCCCAGCTATCTCCCCTACTCCCTTGGGGGCACCCAGCTACCCCCCCATACACAGCCCCACCCCCCTGGGGGGCACCCAGCTATCCCCCCAACCCCCTCCACAGACCCACCCTTCCTCAGAGATGCCCACATCTACCCACAGCCCCACCCCCCTCGGGGGCACCCAGCTATCCCCCTCCCTCTCAGGGGGCACCCAGCTACCCCCCTACCCCCTCGGAAGCGCCCAGCTACCCCCCATACCCAGCCCCACCCCCCTCAGGGGGTACCCAGCTACCCCCCACCCCATACACAGCCCTACCCCCCTGGGGGGCACCCAGCTATCCCCCCAACCCCCTCCACAGCCCCACCCTTTCTCGGAGACGCCCACATATACCCACAGCCCCACCCCCCTCGGGGGCACCCAGCTACCCCCCTACCCCCTCGGAAGTGCCCAGCTACCCCGCGTCTCCCGGCTCCCCCCCAGCTCCATCCCTGTCTGGGGCGACCCAGCGCAGCCCTCGGGCCGCCCCGCGACTGGAACAGGACTGGACGGGGGGCAAGGGGTGGGGCTAGGGCTAGTTCGGGGACAGGGATGAGGCGGGCCGAGGACACGTTCGGGGGCGGAGCTGAGCGGTGTGGCGCAGGGGGCGGGGCGAGGGCACGTGCGGGGGCGGGGCTACGCGGTGTGGCGCAGGGGGTGGGATGAGGGTACGTACGGGGGCGGGGCTGAGCGGGAGGCGGGGCTGGTGGCGCCGCGCCTGGCGGGGGGCGGAGCCTGCGGCGCTGGCGTCGGGCGGCCGGGGGCGGCGCGCTCTGAGCCGAGCGGGCTGGAGCGGAGCAGCAGGCGGGTGTGTTCCCCTCTCCCCGCGGCGGGCGGCCCGGCGGCGGCGGCGGCGGCGGCGCGACTAGGGGTGGGCTGGTGCGTGTCCCACTCGCGTAGCGCGGGGGCTGGTGCGTGTGGCCGCAGGGGGCGGGCGTGCAGGCGCGCTGGGGGCAATGGGGGCGCGTGTGGCAGGGCCTGCAGGTGTGAGAGGTCGGGTCCCTCCGGGTCGGTCCTGTGGGTGCTGAGGGGAATTTACTTCTCGTGACAACAGTTCAGTGACCAGCTGGACAAGTGTCCCCAAAGCGGGTGGGGCGGCAGAGGCAGGTCCAGTCTCCCTGGTCTCCGTAATTCCCTGCCCGCGTAGCTGACAGCAGGTGCGGACTAGGAGGGGACAGGCGCTGGACATCCCGTTCTCTGGTTGGGTCAAAGCGGGGGCAAGGTGGATTTTCCTGACGCTGCTGAGGGATCTCCTCCTCCGCAATCTGCTGCCGGGCTGTCTCTCCAATTAGGTTTATTGATGAATTGCTGACCCTCGTTTTTTAAAAATCAACCCCCCC